TTTACCCAGGACTGTGTCAGGTTTTCACTTCATCCAGAAAATTAGTCTGCCAGTGTCACCGCTCCAATTTCCTCTTTTAGGCATATTTTGCTTTTTGGTATTTTTAATGGAAGAACATTAGGAAGATCCTCTCACATATTCTGTGTCTACTACAGAGCACAGCAAAGAACCGGAATTTTTAAATGTAGGGGACTTCTTCCTAGATAACTGTGTCATATGAAAACTTGTTATGAAACAGATGAAAAGGTATTTCTGATATAATTAATATCCATTTAACTACTGCTCAGAGATTACTGACAGTATTGGTTTCAAATACCTCAGTAACTGTGATTTATAAGGTTGCCACAAAGAGATCTATTCACGCTTTTCCTAAGTGTGATTCTATTCCTCCCTAATTGAAGAATGCTGTTGTGGGGTATTTTGGTTTTTTTGGTTTGGTTTGGTTTGGGGTTTTTTTGTTTGTTTTGTTTTGTTTTGTTTTGTTTTGTTTTGTTTTGTTTTGTTTCTTAACAGTTGTACTTAACGATAGCATCGTGTTATAGTCAAGATAAATTTTGTCAATTCCTGAAAAGCTTCCCCCATGGTAGACTTCATGGAATGTGTCTCATCTTTACCTTATATCAGTATTTAAGACAGTAATTTAAATCTTGAAACAGAAAATTATGTGAAAATTTAAACTGATTTTAACCTTGTTACTTAGCAAGATTCCTGCCCATGGAAGAGGGGCTCTAACTAGATGATCCTTAAGGTCCCTTCCTACCCAAACCAGTCTACGATTCTCTGATTCTAGCACCTACGAGCTGCTACAAGCTAGACAGGAGAGAATAGAGAAAAACATGCTAAATCTAAATAGGGGAAATTATTCTCTTCTTAATAGTGATGACCCAAATCCAGGATTTGTTCTATACATTTCTGAGCAGTGAATTTTGTCCCTTTTTACATTAATTGCAGTGGTCAGAAGGTGGGTTTGCCTGATTCATTCCAAAGTACTCATGATTTGTCCTGGAGTCCTGTATTACTTCAGCTGCTTTGATTTGTGTTATACATCACATTAACTGGGATGCCTATTTAGTATGAGAAATAAGTATTGTTCATTTAATTATTTAAATATTTGTTCTCATTGACTGTACGTATAGGCTTTTGCTTATGCCACCATTAGAGTCCCATTATCCTCTAGGGAAGATGTTTCACATCTTTGAATCTTTTCTTTTTTTAGGATGTTTACAGTTTATATGTGAGTACATAGTATTCATATATTTTTTAATATTTTGCATTTTATATTTAAAATACAAAAAAAGTCATAATGAATGTTCAGTTTCAGCTCATTATCTCCTTAAAAGATACAAACAGATGCCATTTCACATAGTCATTGATTTTGTAACTATACATTTGTTAAAAGTTTTTGTGAAGAGCTATTTGAAGCTCAGACTTAAAGTCTGTGGTATGACTTTTTTCAGCTCATGGTTCACTTTCAGTAATTTGGGTTAACTATTATTGCAATCTGCTTCTGGCTAAAAAATAGCAAAATTTCTTCTAGCTAGAGTATTTACTGTAACTGTTCTTGTAAAGATTTTAACATGGTATCTTTATAGAAAAAAAATATTTCTGCTACTTTAAGGTATTTACATCTTTGCTAACAGTTTGTAAACAGAATTTTAGAAACTGACTTAAAACATCATGGCCCATTTTAATATGATGACAGTGATTATGATCTTTTTTTGCTTAAAGTAAGTTTACATAATGAAGGCAGTAATATATCCATAGAAAAGTTTTCCATCCCTTGTATACCAGGTATTTAAAAAAATAGAATTGCAGAATTGAATCTTACCTATGAATAACAAATTACGAGACCAAAAATGGATAGAATTGCTTTTAAATATTGGGAAATGTGAAGATGCAAAAGAGCTCTTTAGAAATATGAGTACCATTACTCATATTAAAACTCTTCTAAAAATATTACAGAAAAAAAATGAGTGCTTCAATAAGAAATGAAGGAAATGTTAAAGGGCATCCTTATTCTGAATCACCAGTGCAGACTAATCAAATCTTACACTAGCATGGCACTGATTGATAGATATTAAGCATAGGATATCTCATTTCACTGGCACACTGTCAAACTACTAATACAAGATCTGAAGTGATAAGAGGATTATCAGCAATGGAGACTGCAATGTAAATAAATTGAATGCCTATTTCTCTGCCTACAGCTCTACTTTGTATTATAAAGATTTGTATATATATATATACATGTTTCTATCGCCCATGTGTTTCATATTTACTTAATGGATACCTTAAAATATATCTTTCATTTAATGTCTAAGTATTTGTTCCTTACTTCTGTAACCTTTCCAGCAGTGTAGCCTTCTTTTTCACTAGTGTATATGAAACTTTAAGAATATCTTTATAAACCACTTTACCCAAGATCCTAAGCAAGTCTTGTTACTCACTGGCTGTTCCTATATACATAGGTAGAGATGAATGTCTGCTACATTAACAGCTGTTTTACTATGAATATTACTTCATAAGTCTAAGTGAAATTTATCCTCAGGATTCAGGTGCATAGATGAAAGCCACCTTATTAGAAATAACAACATCTAACGATTCCCCTCCCCCTTCTATATTGTGGATATTGAAACATGCCCATTTAAAAACAGAGAGACTGATTAGGCAAAAAATTACCAATCAATCATCTTTGTCAATTTCCTTGACCAGGTAAGATCAACATGAGGGTCCACTCTAAAATAATATAATGATAAAAGTTTTAATTTGGTATGCTAGACAGATGTGCACAAATGCACTAATAGAATAGGGTAACAAGTTTTCAGCTGCTGCAATGATTGCTAAAAAGAAAGCAAATTAATATCAGATACATGTCTATAAGTCTATATAGAAAAATTAATTCATGCATAGTAAAAAACCACACCTCCTATGTCTTATCTGACCATCACCTCTGGCACATACTTGACTTCCTGCCTTAATCTTGCTCACAGTTTCAGCATTTGTTTATCTGTGTGGTGGATAGATTTTTTTCCTGTCATGGGATTAGATATTCACTTTCTGTTGTACACTTTGATCTCCAGATTCTGTTTATTTTATTTGCTTTTGACTTCTGCCACCAATATTTATCTTCACTTCATTGTGTTACCTCACTTTGTTATACTTAATAAACAGCTTTGAGTATGGGTTAAACAATAACTAGATGTGAAACCTACAGTTAATGCGTATATAATTCTAGTTACTACTGTTTAATCTCTTTTCTACAGGCATTAAAATTCAAAATTCTAATAAAAAACAAAAAAGTTGGAACACTTGAGCAAAGTATGCTCAGGAGAGATTTAGATAGTCATGGTGAGACAGGGGAAGTTTCTGAATCTGAAAATGTATCCGATGACGAAGATGACAGTGATGATACAGCTCCTCTTTGCCCACATCATGATTCCTCAAAAAGAAAAGGTGAAGGTACATCTTCAGCCCCACCTAGGAAAAAAGCAAAGGTAATTTTTGTCTCAATTGAATATAGAAAACACATAGATGTGTACCAGTCTTTTTTTTACAAAAGAAGGAATATATTATCTTAAAATAGAGACTAAATTTAAAAGGTAGGCTTCAAAATTACTTAGAGCAATATATTTGGAAACAATACATCTAAACTCCACCTATGTTTTTTGCTTTCAAATCTTGTGCTTGTCCCAGATGCTCAATAACGTAATAGATCTAAAATAAGGTTGCTCAACTGCTTTATTGGTCTCAAGGCCCTCCTGGAGCTATGCGTGGAGAGCACTGATCGCAGTTCTTGATAATGAAGGATAAAGTGAGCTATTTCTTCCTGCAGTCCACCATTATACCTTCTTGTTAATTGTAATTAATAATAATGACATATGTGTATTTTGTGATTTTTTTATTCTTCCATTATTTTGTACTATGATTATCAGATGAAAAAGGTGAAAATTGCCCTTGCATTGTCGGACCTTGTGATTTATACCAAATCTGAGAAGTTTGTGAGCTTTGAGCACTCCCAAAATCATCAGAAGTGCTATGAAAATAATTCAATTGGAGAGGTTCGAGCACGAAAATTTGTAAAACATTCAGGTAATTTCTTTTGATTTAATCAGATAAAAGTTACAATATGACTATGGTTCACTGCTTAGGCATTGGGTTAAATTTTTGTGAAATGCATGCTGTCCAATTTTATTTGGTTGTCCTTATAACATTGCTATAGAAATATCTAACTATTATTTGCACTGCATTTTTATGTTTCAGTTGGTTTTGTAAGGAAAATTGAGCATCAGTTTTAATTTCTTGTAGTTTTATTAGAACAAATATTAACATAGTATACAAAAAGTATGAATACCTTTGGATTCATTTTTTTCTGCATCAAATAATTTAGATGTTACAGTCAATACTTGAAAGTGTGTGGAATACATTTCACACACACATACCACCCATGTGCAGTCTGTAGTACTCACTGTAGTACTCACTGGAGCTGGGCATGTGGTAATCCTGGCTTTGATGATAAATATGAATAAGAGAATCTGCATTGAGAGAATGATTAAACCCCATAGCAGGCAGATTGCTCCACTGGACCATGTCTTTCATACCAATCATGTCGGATTATTCAAAACTCATCCTGTGTGGAGCTTCTCTATTTGGTGCAGCCAACACAGTGCAGCCTTTGCTGTTTTAACTCCAGCTGTCTATCAGCGACCTTAAGGGAGCGTTAAGAACAGAGATCACTGAATGAAGTCTGCCACTGGCCCATTCATTTAAGGCCAAGCCAGCTGCCATCCACCACTTTGTGGAGATGATTCGATGGTTGATTAGATGAAAGGTGCTGAACGGCATAAAAACAAGTAGACTTTTTTTAGATTACCATAGAGTCCCTCTAGCAATCTACTGAACATAAAAGCAGGATGGAAAGGATCAGAGTGATGACCCTGGAAATATAAAGCTTCCTTTTTAATTACTAAACAGGAATAGCGTACATAGAACTAATCTGAAATTCTCCGCATCTGTGTAGTTTATGCTTGTGTGTGAAGGAACACTGCTAGGAGTAAGAAAACTCGCTTGTATAGTTAACATCATCTGAAGATTTTGAAGGAACCAATTGTCTTTTAGAGATGCACTGTTCAATGGTCTTGAGATTATTCAGTTATTTTTAAACCTCAAAACAAATTATGATCATTTTGGGATGATTGTTTTCCTACAGAACTACTAAAGAATGAGTGGGCTTTTTGACCACTTTCCTGTTTTGTGTCTTTTAGTTTTCCATGGAGACACAGTGGGCTTTAGTGTAAAGATCATGCATTTACCAAACAAAGAGGTGAAGAAACAGAATACTTCCATGAAGTAATGTTTCTTGGTTATTGAAACTTTAACAAAAGACTGCACTATACACAGATATACTATATCAGATTCAAACATATACAAAACATTCAAGTTTAAAAATAGTATTTTAACCATATCTCAGTGGCCCATACGCTACCATTACCATGCATATAAATGTCCTAAAATAGAAATACATTTATATGATATACTCATTGTGTGTAAAAAAAATAATAAAAAAAAATGCTGGATAAGATTATTACATTTTTATTATTATTTATTCAAATAGGATCTTTCTATTAACAAAGTTTTTCTTACCAAGGTTTTATCAATCTGTTTTTCAGCCAGAGATTTTGTTTTACATACGTCAAAATTCATTACAAGAATCTATCCCAAAGGAACAAGAGCAACCTCTTCAAATTATAATCCTCAAGAGTTCTGGAATGTGGGGTGTCAAATGGGTATGTACATTCACAGAGTTGCATTCCAGGCTTTGTAGAGAAGATGATGAATCTTTTTCCTATAGTATTTTTTCTGTTATGTAGGTTACACATTTTCCCTCAGTGGCATCACTTTCATTTCGTGTTATCTAAACTTTCTGTTCAGTCTACATATCCTAGTAATTTTTTATCCTAGAATCCAGGAATGCTGGTATGTAATAACTAAAAAGAATATTATTTTCATCTATTTATTTTTGAAATTAGTTACAATTAGGCAGTAAGTAATTCTAAATATCACTTTCTGTTACATAGCTATACCTTACCCCGAATATCCCAGTTTATTTTAATTCATTAATTTCTTTAAACTACTTCTTTTTTTTTTCTATTAGATAATAAGAAAAACAGCAGTAAGAATACACTTTAAAGCTTTGAACTTTATTTTGTATTATTCCTAGCCCTAAGCCTAAACAAAGCACTATTTTATTTTACAGAAATGTAGCAAAAGAACATATATAAACAGCTTTCAACAGCTAAACCAGAGTTTTATTTTTATATATTATCTCCTTTTTATTAACAGTTCTATGATATTTATATGTGGGTGTCTGTAAGGAGAATTCAAATGATAATTTGTATGTTACTCCCTGTGTATTTGGGCTGAAATTATGTTAACTATGTTACCCTAGGTTTTGAGGTAAAAGTGAGTGTGCTTTGCATTAAGCACTGTAGTGCCAAAAAAGAAGAAGAAAAATTACAATATGCCTTTCACAAAAATGGAAATAGATTATAATGGTTTTGCACGCTGTATCAGCCAAATCCTACAACCTCTGTGCTTATTTGTCAGCTGTGGCTAAGATGTAACTAGAGCACGTTTAGAAGAGAAAATGGCAATGGTAGCTTGTTATTCTTCTTTTTTTTCCCCTTTCCTTTTTTCTTTTTTTTTCTTCTAATTTTTCTTTGAAAGAAATTCTTTTTTCAGCTGAGATCTAGCACTCTTTATAGATACTTTGCAGTTAGCAAGCACAAGGAAGCATCTGCCTGTTTATCTAACGGTGGGAATTGTTGTAATGCAATTGCATTTGCTTTTTCCAAGGGCTGGGCTATAGCCCTGAATTAGAATAGGTAATGGAAAGATATGTATGTGCAGTTTAGGAATTTTTACAAAGCAATGGAAGCCTCATCTGAAGGATGTGTGTGTTTTCAATTGTTTTGTGTGACTGGAGTGACAAAGATGCAAGAGATGTGGGCACAACAATTAATACTGGTGTCAAGAATTCTCATGATTATGACATACTACTGCAAAGAAGCATTCAAATGCTCCTGGTCAGCAGAACACTCAGGTAGAGCTGCGGGTCTCCAGTGACTGTATAGGTGCAGTCTAAGTTTAGCATCTTCCAGTACAAAGCGTATTAGTTCCCCGAGCAATGAAATAACAATAACTTTTGTTTCTCTTCATTTCAAGTTAGTTTTTAATTTTAAATTGTTAGAAATAAGCACGACTTCTGTACTCATCAGGCTTTGAAAAACCTCTCACCTGTAAGTACTTTCCCCTTTTTAATGGCATTAAATACAATCTTGCCTTCATGTCTTTAGCTTAAAAGATTCTCAGTTACAGAACATTTTTTTCTGTATGTCTGCTACACCTTCTTCAGCCCTAGGTAGAGAGCAATATTTTTTGCATCCTCATATATATTCTGTCTTTGATTCCACACCAAGGCCACCTGAAGGAGACTGGGGGGGGGGGGGGGGGGGGTGAGCAGGGCAATTTGCCAAAGGCTCACTGTTTTCAGAAGTGAAAATATGGTCTCACTGTTATATTATGGTACACACTCATAGAGATGGGCACAGATTTCACTTTGCCTGTAGGGCTCTGGAGTTTACATGCACCTTTGCTCCAGGTTTTCTTTTTCACTTGTTTCCTTTCTTAGCTCCCAAAATATCTTCCAAGTTACCTTCTCAGAAATGTTTTCAACAGTGTGCTTTTTCCAATCAATCTTGCACATGCATATTATTTGTTGTTTAACCCCCTAATGTATCTCCAGATACTTTCCTACAGTTATAGAATTTAGAAGGAGCATCATGCCTCAGCTTTCACTGGAAGACTGCTGTTCCGACGCCTGTGGCCCTGACCACAAGCAGTGGAGGATGTCCTCAAGCCTAAATTTTCTATCATTTGCAGTCCCCACCCCAAGCTACACTATGCTGTCAGTGCCACATGTCGAGACAATGTAGGAAACAATGACTAGGGACATAGCATGAATTTGGCCGCTCAGTGCTGGTTGTTCCATGAAAGAACTGAAATGTACTCAGATCTCCCATAATTCTCGCATTGTTATAAATTCTGCTTCTCATCCTGACTTTTGCACTGAGGTATAGTTTTACAAGTACAGTGGGAGTAAAACGATTGCTAGTTAGTCTACATTTTGTCTGTGCCATTATAAATGTTTATTGATAGTACGGATTTGGACTTGGGCTAGGCTATTGCTGGAAGTATCTTGCCATTTCAATACCATTTGCAATCGGTTTGATTACATTCTGTCCTTCTGGTTGATTCTCACTTAGCTTGATGTCATGCTATTGCTGGATTATTTTCCTGGGGTGGTGCACTCTCCATAGACTATCCACATTGCTGTTAAAAACTTGTAAGTTTATTTCATGCTTAGAGCAAGGCTGGCCAGAGGTCCTTAATTTAAAATTGAATTCATGTCTCAGGCTTATCTTACTGCAGTTTACTAGTTTTCTTTTTAGTCTGTAAATCTCCACACTGATCTCTGCAAAGAGTATCCATTTGTTAGATCTCAAACAGGACTGAAGTCTTATTGAATGACTACGCTGAATGTTGACTCAGAGTATATTTTAATGAACAGTCAATCTAAACATTAGTGTAAAAACCATATGATTTTTGCTGCATAGGGGCCTTGGGCCCCTTCCTGGAAGAATTAAAAATATGCAGGAAGTGGTTAGATCTGCCCTCTTGGTCACATCATTTGAATCTTCATTTAAAGAAACATTTTTCTCATGGGAATAAGCTGATATTATAAGCAATTCTCCATACATATTGTTTCCAAGCCATGCCACATCTATTCTTGATTCCCTAATCTGTTTTAGATAACTGTTTGGCAGAAATTTAACTTCACAATGCATCTCCCAAAGCTCCACTCAGTGAAACTTCTGCTGATGTCCTTCCAGACAGATTTTTTAATTTTGTGTCTGTCTTGTGTCCATACAGCCCACATACCCACCCTTGTCTCCCGGCCATTGTACTCTGCATCCCATGCACAAAAGTAATCCCTCCAGATACCTTCTACCACTTTCCTAAACCTGTTCACAGGACTCCTAGATTTCTCCTATGTCACGCATCTGTTTCTTCAGCTCCTTTCACTCTGCCCACAGCTGCTAATTTACCCTTCTCACCTTTAAGTTCCTCTAATATCCATAATTGTTCTGGCTGGAGAAAAAAAACATACTAGGTTTTGTTCACGTTTACATATAATATGCCCTTCCAGGCCTCTGAATCATGTAAATGATGATAGCTGAGTTATTCTTTCACTTCCCTTAGTGACAGACTCAAAACAGTGCTCTCTTCTGTATCTTGCTAGCAATTTTCTCTACATTGGTTAGAATGTATTAACTTAGAGCAACCCAGCACTCAGTTGAAGCAGGATGAAATGGTTCAACAGGCTCAAGATTTGTTGGGGCTGAGGATGAGAATTATGTAATTGTGTAAATCTGATTTCCAGAGGAAGGCAAGTTAGAAGCCACAGTAAAAAGTACATAATTTCCACACAAAATCACTTCTGGATATCACTGTGCACTCAGTGCCCATTCTCTGAACATTGAAACTCATAAGAACAAGATAGGTTTTGTGAACAAAGCAGCATTATAGAGCAAAATACTTTTTATAGTCTGGGAAAATTAGTATGCTTACTGCATACAACTGCAGTGTGACACTGGAAAGAACTGGTTTGGTTTATCCATTTCTCCTTTTTATTTAGCAAATAAATGGAATGTGAAGATTTATGCAGGGAAAGAAAACTCAGGATGGTGATTTAAATAAACAGGTATCAGTTGTATTATATTGACTGACAAAAAGAAAGAAAAAAACCCCAACCAACCAACCAAAAAATCGCAGTGTGAAACAAGCAAACAAACGAACAAAAAAACAAATCGAAAGACTTAAATATCCTTTTGAATATGTCCTTTACAGAAGTAGAAAACATTGTCTATATGTCAAAACAATCTACAGGAATGACTAAAATATGCAATAATTTACATGAAAAAAACATACTATGGCAGGTACAGAATTTCGGTTTACAATAGCCTATATAAAGCATATGTTTTCTGGAGCACTCATAAAAATTTATTTGATGTTGTGAATGTTCCAATACTTGTATGATGGGTTTTTTCTTATTGTAGCTTTTATTTTGGCCTGTGCCACTAAAATGCAGCTTGGCAATTTTATCATATCTGTTTTGTGGCCAAATCTTGTGTGCAATAATATGACTAAAAGTAATGAACAAAGAGATGAGTGATAAAGAGTTCTTCAGCTAGTTCTTTTTTTAACCTCTGAAGCTACCTAGGGAAAAGGAACCCACTCATCTAGATCTTGGTATGCATCACCTGTGCAACTTAAAAATGACCATCAAGTCTGATTTTGCTTGGGTCAGTCTGAGTGAAAACTTAAAGAAGAGGTAGACTTTGGAAAGCCTTATAAAGAAAGATAGGGCATAGGATTACTAATTTACTTCAGAATTTTTGGAGATAGTATGTTTCCTGTGAAGCTGTATTTTCCTTTCTCCCTGGACAAGCGACAAAACTCAAAAAACGACTGATTTAAGGTTTTTTGTGCCTAAAAAACCAGATTATGTTTGATCATAGAAAGTTTAGATATTCTCACAATCTTAATGAACGCTATGCATTTTAGAATGTGTGATGGAGTGTCAAATTTGGTAAAGGAATTTATGAATTAATGAAATCAAATCTAAGGAAAAACACAGGCTCTGTTATTAAAAGACTGTGGAATA